GTAGTAGTAGTAGTAGTAGTAGTAGTAGTAGTGTTGGTGTTAGTAGTAGGCCTACCGGTAGTATTACAGTGGCGGATTTAGGGGGGGGGGGTCAGGGGTGCCCTGACCACCTCCCCCTTAGAGAGGGAATGATATCAGCAGTTAGAAGTAGCACAAGCTGCAGGATTACGCCAACCATCAATTCAATGCACTCCACGAAACTCATGCTTTGTGTGATTTTTTTTCCAGTTTTGACAGCGCAGGGTACTATAGCCCGCCTGCCAGTCTACAACCGTGTACAGTCCTACTGGGATTCGTTGAACAACGGCAACGACGTGGACTCCAACATCGCGGTAAGGTACAAGGCATGCTGGGATATGTAAAGGTACAGGTCATGCTGGGATATGTGAGGTACAGGGCACGCTGGGATATGTAAGGTACAGGGCACGCTGGGATATGTAAGGTACAGGACATGCTTTCTACACTCATCTATTCATGATGTGATTGAGTTTTTTACGCCCAATTTTCATTTCTTGATTCTAGTCGGTGACGTACACCAAGAAGTCATCGTTGAGTTCTGTCAACGTGGTTTGGACTACCAACATGCTTCAGCTAAATAACGCCAAATGTGCGCGGTGGTACATTACGTTCAATGGGGCCGAGTGCGCGGACCCAGGCAATATTGAGAGTGTTTTATACGAGAGAGACATCACGCACGCCACCAACGCAGATTGGCACCAACCCGGCATGGGTAAGATCAGTTGATTTTATACGGCATTCAACTCCATTATTCTACACTTACAAATATTATGATATACTACGATATGTACTTTCCTCTCGAGACGCCAGTTGGCTGGACATGAAGAAATCGACAGTCTGCTTTGGGTGCTTTGAACGAACACTTACTTGGTATAAACAATGTGGTTATTTCTGCTATAAATATTTTGAACTAAATAATATAATAGTTATGGTGAACATGGGGTTATATTTAGTATATAGATGAGATTTTAAATTTTTAATCTGAAGTTTATATTTTTTCGACACTAGCAGCTTTGTCAGTTTCCACAAAGCTACCTGTGTCTAAGTGAGGCATATATTTTCAAGGAAAAACGGGAAAGCTTCAGACAAGTTCCAACAATGCACTAGCGGATCGTCTGACACATCTTATTGTTTCAGGCCTATATAATTTACGGGTCATAACAAAACTAGGAACAAATGGCAGGGTACCATATGATCAACCGTTACATTTGCTCTATTTTTCTTGTCTTCTAGTGGAAGGGATATGTCACGGTCTGGCTGCCGGGACGTACACCGTGACCCTGGCAGTAACCAACTGTAATGGCTATAGCGGTGGAAACGCCTACACCGGCTGGGCATCCGGGACCTTCGCCATGATAGAGGAAGTCTTCATGGGCATCTAAGCAGCATGATACAATTCTTGGTATCCCCCCCCCCCAAAAAAAAAAAAAAAAAATGTAAAATTTTATTTTAATTCTTGTAGTTGGCTCACTTAAGACTCTTCACTTCAGTCGGACAATGTCATAATTAAAAACCAAATTGTGTAAGAAGTAAGCCCACAATGCTTTCCAGACGGCAAGACCAAGGTTATAAAGACGGCAGTTTTTCGGGAACCTCGTTTGATATCATCGACTTTGTCAGTTGTTGATTACCCAAAAAATTATGAAAAAAGATGTTAACAATATTATTGCAGCCACTGAATTCAATTAAACGTCCTAAGTCCACATAAAGATACCTGTACATACTTTATGACATACAGATCTTGAAAGGGCCGATACCTGCTGCGCATTGCAATTAAAATTGTATCAAAGTTGAACATATATTTCAGGATTGTACGTGGAAGTTTCTGTACCAATACTTCCGATACTGATATTTTCTTCAGTCATTTAAGTAAGCTGTTCACCAGATGAGTTTAACGGGGTAGAATACAAAATGATGCATACATTTTTTTCTCGCTTTCTGAATCGAGTACTTGCCAATCTTATTTACTGGGGATTTAAATTTTACATTTTTCAGCTTTCCATTGTTGTGTCAGGAAGTGATTGTGAAAATAGATAACATTGGCCACATTCTTCAACGTATCTTTCTTTTTTCTCTGAAGATGACCAGAATAAACTAGTGTGCTGTGAACATAAGACACGAGTTGGCTGTTTAAAAATCCTACATTTTAACAAATTAACAAACCAGATTACCTTAGCGTAGGGACCAATTAAGAAACAAGGCAGCAAAGCTGTCAAATGTACAGACAAAAAACAGAAAATAAAGATGCAAAATAGGTCATTTTGTCAATTTTGATGCAATAATAAATAATGCTTATAATAGCACTGTCAATCAGCACTCAATTCTAATCATGCACAACAGGTACCATGGTCAATAACAGGAGCGAATCCAGAGATATTTTCTGACAGTATTCCAAAGTATCTATGTTGATCCATCCCCCATTTTTATGGTCTTCCAACAGAAAAAAAAAAATNGTAGTAGTGTTGGTGTTAGTAGTAGGCCTACCGGTAGTATAACAGTGGCGGATTTAGGGGGGGGGGGTGTCAGGTGTGCCCTGACCCCCTCCCCCTTAGAGAGGGAATGATATCAGCAGTTAGAAGTAGCACAAGCTGCAGGATTACGCCAACCATCAATTCAATGCACTCCACGAAACTCATGCTTTGTGTGATTTTTTTTCCAGTTTTGACAGCGCAGGGTACTATAGCCCGCCTGCCAGTCTACAACCGTGTACAGTCCTACTGGGATTCGCTGAACAACGGCAACGACGTGGACTCCAACATCGCGGTAAGGTACAGGGCATGCTGGGATATGTAAAGGTACAGGTCATTCTGGGATATGTAAGGTACAGGGCACGCTGGGATATGTAAGGTACAGGACATGCTTTCTACACTCATCTATTCATGATGTGATTGAGTTTTTTACGCCTAATTTTCATTTCTTGATTCTAGTCGGTGACGTACACCAAGAAGTCATCGTTGAGTTCTGTCAACGTGGTTTGGACTACCAACATGTTTCAGCTAAATAACGCCAAATGTGCGCGGTGGTACATTACGTTCAATGGGGCCGAGTGCGCGGACCCAGGCAATATTGAGAGTGTTTTATACGAGAGAGACATCACGCACGCCACCAACGCAGATTGGCACCAACCCGGCATGGGTAAGATCAGTTGATTTTATACGGCATTCAACTCCATTATTCTACACTTACAAATATTATGATATACTACGATATGTACTGTACTTTCCTCTCGAGACGCCAGTTGGCTGGACATGAAGAAGTCGACAGAGTCTGCTTTGGGTGCTTTGAACGAACACTTACTTGGTATAAACAATGTGATTATTTCTGCTATAAATATTTTGAACTAAATAATATAATAGTTATGGTGAACATGGGGTTATATTTAGTACAGTATATAGATGAGATTTTAAATTTTTAATCTGAAGTTTATATTTTTTCGACACTAGCAGCTTTGTCAGTTTCCACAAAGCTACCTGTGTCTAAGTGAGGCATATATTTTCCAAGGAAAAACAGGAAAGCTTCACACAAGTTCCAACAATGCACTAGCGGATCGTCTGACACATCTTATTGTTTCAGGCCTATATAATTTACGAGTCATAACAACACTAGGAACAAATGGCAGGGTACCATATGATCAACCGTTACATTTGCTCTATTTTTCTTGTCTTCTAGTGGAAGGGATATGTCACGGTCTGGCTGCCGGGACGTACACCGTGACCCTGGCAGTAACCAACTGTAATGGCTATAGCGGTGGAAACGCCTACACCGGCTGGGCATCCGGGACCTTCGCCATGATAGAGGAAGTCTTCATGGGCATCTAAGCAGCATGATACAATTCTTGGTATCCCCCCCCCCAAAAAAAAAAAAAAAAATTGTAAAATTTTATTTTAATCCTTGTAGTTGGCTCACTTAGGACTCTTCACTTCAGTCGGACAATGTCATAATTAAAAACCAAATCGTGTAAGAAGTAAGCCCACAATGCTTTCCAGACGGCAAGACCAAGGTTATAAAGACGGCAGTTTTTCGGGAACCTCGTTTGATATCATCGACTTTGTCAGTTGTTGATTACCCAAAAAATTATGAAAAAAGATGTTAACAATATTATTGCAGCCACTGAATTCAATTAAACGGCATAAGTCCACATAAAGATACCTGTACATACTTTATGACATACAGACCTTGAAAGGGCCAACACCTGCTACGCATTGCAATTAAAATTGTATCAAAGTTGAACATATATTTCAGGATTGTACGTGGAAGTTTCTGTACCAATACTTCCGATACTGATATTTTCTTCAGTCATTTAAGTAAGCTGTTCACCAGATGAGTTTATCGGGGTAGAATACAAAATGATGCATACATATTTTTCTCGCTTTCTGAACCGAGTACTTGCCAATCTTATTTACTGGGGATTTAAATTTTACATTTTCAGCTTTCCATTGTTGTGGCAGGAAGTGATTGTGAAAATAGATAACATTGGCCACATTCTTCAATATATCTTTCTTTTTTCTCTGAAGATGACCAGAATAAACTAGTGTGCTGTGAACATAAGACACGAGTTGGCTGTTTAAAAATCCTACATTTTAACAAATTACCAAACCAGATTAGCGTAGGGACCAATTAAGAAGAAATGATAAAAGCCCCGAGGGCAGTTTTTTTTTTTTTTTAGATAATTTCATTGTTGACCAGTAGATCGATTTGTGAAGTTCATAACAAAATTCATTAAGTTCTGGGAGAACTGATAATACATTGTTATAATGAAAGTTGGCCTCCAAATGAATTTTTTTAAATTGCGCTCTAATTATACCCACCCTTACATAATACAGTAGTTTATGGTGTGGCTGAAACGGGGGAAGGCAGGGTGGAACTAGTAATGGTCTAAATCGTTTGGCTGGTGCTCCGCTGGCAAACTGAGCTTTTGCCGCCGGTTTCCTTACTGTGAGCACCTGATCTAGTGTGAACATAGTAACTCCAGTTCTCTGGTCAAAAACTACAGGCTTTGAAGTTAAAACATCGCTTTCGTCGGATTACGCGACAGCAGTATGAATGGAAGTAGGCAATCGATGTGCTGAAGCTATTCCGTTGGGACACAAAATGCAATTCTGTCGCAACCGACTTCTATACATCTCAACTACCGCAATAACCCTCTGACTATCTCCCGTCTTCACGTTACACTACACGGCAAATGCGGCTCAATAAAAAAAATTAGATCCGTGGCTAAACAAAATAAATTTCAAATTAAATCTTTCATTATTATGGTAAAATATGTCTTAGTGAACATCAATTTGTATCAAATCCGGCAGAAACCACTTACTGGGACTGCAACAGCGCGTTTCTAATTCATATTTATAAAATTTACAAATTGTTTAAATTCACAGCAGCCTTAGGAACAAAACTATTTTCAATAAAGTCATTTAAATGTCACCTCATTCTGTCAGCCCTCTTTACTACAGGGAAGAACAAACATTATCTGACATCACAAAATCTTTTGTTTAATGAGCAGAGACATAAAGAGGCTTGTTATCAAAGACAGAGAACAACAGCTATCCATCACACGACACCCACTGAGATAACACAGTTTGTGAACCATATTAAAACCAGCTATATTCATATTCTAGCTTTGCCAGTGTATTTCCCTCTTTCCCTTCATAAAAACTGGTAATCTTCATGAGGGAAGAAAACGTCAATGGCACTCCAACTGATGTAATTCTGTCAGGACCAAATATCTTCCAGGTATTTTCTACTCTGTCTCTTTTCCATTAGATAAACCCTGGCTTCTTCCAGGCTGAAACCTAAAAAAAAAAAAAAAATAAAAATACAGCACATAAGACTTAACCACTGCTGTAAAATTGAGGGGAACATCAATGTTTTGCACCTAAGGAACTTTACTTCATCTATTCTTTACAATGGTACGCAACATTTTTGTGTGTGAATATACGTACCTTTTATCATCTGCAAAATATCCAAGAATTTCTCATTAACGTTCCTTGCCATATTTTTGGCATCCCCACACACATACACTACAGCTCCGTGGCAGTCAATAAGGTCCACTACTTCCTGTGCATGGAGTCCCAGGTTGTCTTGCACATAGCGTGGAGCGCCATCTGGTAGTTGGTCTCTTGAGAAGGATGTCAAAAGTTTTGTAAGGATACCTTCTTTGGCAAACTGCTCCAACTGCTCTCTGGAAATGGGATGAGAACTGCAATGATAGTCTTAATTTATTAAGTTTTGAGTCAAGATCTTTGAGATATAAACTGGTTCTTTAGCTCAGTTTTCACCAAGGAACATCCCAACCACTTACGACACATCCACGAATGACATCAGTGAAGAATTATACATATTATATTTCATATACAGTTTCAATACACTTATATGTCTAGTTACCCTGGGAAAAGTTGTCAAATATTAACTAAAACTGTACCCAGGTGGGTGTGCAAATTAATCCAAGATGAAGGTTATTTCATTTGTGGGAAGGGTGATAGTTTTATCATTATATTCTCACATACCACAAGGCTCAGTGTTTACCTGTACAAAAAGTCCTTGTCTTTATGTCTGCAGCCAAAGAATAGCCAGGTAGCTCCAAGGGTGGGCGGGGCTTGAATTTTCTTCAGTTCAGCCCTAAAAATAGTTATATATATTGATTTGACATTTTTGGTACCGCATTTTGTGTAATCCACTTAATTTTCCATTCTTGTCAATATAATTTCACAATGGACATAAAATGCACAAACAAAGAAAAAAAAGAGAAAATTATTTATTATAATTTAAGCAGTAGTCAGTGTGTCCTTGCATGCATGCATGCGCAAGCACGCGCGCTATGTGTGTGTGTGCGTGCGCGTGTGCGTGTGTGTTTGTGTGTGTGTGCTAGGGTCTACCTGTGCTGTAGGAACCCTACAAAAGGTGCCACTCCTGTGCCAGGACCTATCATGATCAAGGGTGTGTCAAGCGACTGTGGATGGTGGAAATACTGGTTGCTGCGCTGGTAAATGGGGACCTAAAGTTTTAACAGAAAAGATATCAACTGATTTGAACAGGAATGGCTTGTCACCTCATAAACCTTACTCAATTCATTTTTTTTTAAATTTACTACTTCTATTTTCTCATAAAACAAATTCTACACGACTCATATTTTAAAAAATATGTCCATTACCTATTTTTGTAAAGCCTAACTGATTAAACACTGCTAAACAGATACATGTGTATATATAATAATCAACTACACATTTTTACATGATAAATTAGATCTTTGAAATATAAGGACATTTTATTCATTTATCCCCGGAAGTCATATTGAAATGGAGTCACAGTGAATATTTTCCTTGCTGAAAATGAACAGACCTTAGGCATGTGTAAGCTCAGACTCTGGACCTTATCCAGCAACCATCTGTCCCCAACTGTCCCAGTCTGGGAGGTGGCTGTCCCATGCTCCTCCATGTCCACAACTGTCCCAGTCTGGGGTGTGGTTGTCCCATGCTCCTCCATGTCCCCAACTGTCCCAGTCTGGGAGGTGGCTGTCCTGTGCTCCTCAATGTCCCCAACTGTCCCAGTCTGGGAGGTGGCTGTCCCGTGCTCCTCCACGTCTGCAGTTATGCTAGTCTGAGAGGTGGCTGTCCCGTGCTCCTCCATGTCCCAAGTTATCCCAGTCTGAGAGGTGGCTGTCCCATGCTCCTCCATTTTCCCATTTATCCCAGTCTGGCAGGCAGCAGTCAGCCTGTTCAGCCATCCCGTGCACACACCCTGACGGGACAGAATCCTTCCCTCTCCAGACGGAAACTCCAGGATGTTGAAGACAAAATGGAGGCGCCCAGGTCTGGCCAGAGGAGAGCTGCTACAGGAGTAGGGGCGGCCCTGCAGCCGTGGCAGGTGCTCTGAAGATAAATGACCAGGTGGGGTGAAATCAGGTCAATTATAGGAACTGGTTTTGTGAAAAGTTTTAAAATCTTAACCATGTTATTTACACAAACTGTACATTGATAAATATTTATCTCTTTCCTAGATATTGATACTGAGCAAGTTAACATTTTTTGGCTGAAAAAACTCAATTTTGCTAATCAAGCATTTAATTCCACACTGTTCCCTTTTTCTTCCCTTGACATGACATAAATAATACCTTTCGTCATAACTACATTCAGGTGGAGTGATATCAAGAGAACAATGCTATTATATTTGAGTGTTAAACACAAACTTACCAAGCACCCTACTCCACGGAGGAGTGCATGCTGGGAAAGCACGGAGAATATCGTACAAGGTCACCTTGCTTTCCCTGATGAACTTGGCATAATCAGGAGCTCCCTCACGACTGCTTAGTTCCAGCAAACGTCTCTTCTGTCCATCATGTGAAGTGTACTCAGCCAGCAGACGTAAAAAAGCCTGAAAAAGGTTAGAATACACTTAAGTTATCAAAGCATCCTACAACACTATAGGTCTTCACAAATTCAAATATAATAATTAGTCTTTTAGAATCCAGTTTATTTAGGGATGTGACTGGGTCAGAATTAGAATCCTCTCAAATAAGAAAATTCCCAGAATAATTGCCTCACTTCACCTAACACATTATTTCCTTGTTTTGCACTGCGCTGTCACCAGGGCATGACGGGCAGTAAAACCACACCCATTTCTTACCTTCTTTGGTGCTGCTCTGATATCACACCCTGTCACCAGGGCATGACGGACAGTAAAACCACACCACTCTTACCTTCTTTGGTGCTGCTCTGATATCACACCCTGTCACCAGGGCATGACGGACAGTAAAACCACACCACTCTTACCTTCTTTGGTGCTGTTCTGATATCACACCCTGTCACCAGGGCATGACGGACAGTACAAGGGTTGGGGAGGTGGGGAGGTACCACAGCCAGCTTCTTTTTTGTTTCCTGCTTCAACATCATTCTGAAGGGAACATCTGCTATGTCTGACAGCTGGAGCCTAGGAACAGAGAAAAATAACCACTTTAACAATCAATTGTATATATTAATTAGAATAAGGGCAAGGGCTCTGTTACATAGTTTTTCTGTAATCACCTTAGTTGTCAGTGTTTGTACCAACTCCACAAAAAGATTAAGTTTTGGTCAAAGTTTTACAGACTTCAATCAATTCCTCCAACTGTGAACATTTCAGGCAAACTTTTGAATTACCTGAAGAGATATACCACAAACATGTTAATTCAAACCCTTCCCCCTCCTTGATTAATTATTCATTACCTGTCAATCAACATATCACACTCCTTCTTGTCATTAACACAGACCACACCAAATGTGTCACCAGGCTCATAGTCTATTGATGTCCCCTGAAACAACAAATCACGATGAGTTAAGACCACACTTCTTCCAATATATATCACTGCCATGCTAGACAGGACATGGGTATTGAATATATATAATTATTCTATCATGTGTGTCCATCGAGACTAACACTGATCTCCTTTTAAATAGTATCAAACTGACACAAAATTTCATTCTAAAGTACAGAGTGCCATATAAAAATATTGCACTCTGTAACTGTTTACAAAAATATTTTTGTTTTAAACATAGCTGCCAGAGAAGCAAAATAAGTGTTTTGCATGTGAATGAGCACTTCATATCCCTTGTACATGTAATATTTCCAAGCTAATAGTGGGATTTCAAGTTATGCTCTAATGAATTCTGACATATTCAAACACAATGAAAATCTGACAATACAATTGGCTTCATTTCCCAAGAGGCTTCACAACTATTGCTCTTGGAAAACTGAATGCTAAAAATTGTATCGAGTCATGACAGACTACCTGAAACATTCAGTAAAGACTGGGAATATATTGCTGTAAATTTTTACAAAATACCTAACACATCACCTGTGTGTTGTCCAGTTCAATTACTTACTGTGATGTCCAGTTCAATGTCCACAGCCTTACTTACTGTGATGTCCAGTTCAATGTCCACAGTCTTACTTACTGTGATGTCCGATTCAATGTCCACAGCCTTACTGTGATGTCCAGTTCAATGTCCACAGCCTTACTTACTGTGATGTCCAGTTCAATGTCCAGAGCGGTTTTCAAAGCATCTTCTCTAGTCAACCTGGTGGCGGACACTATGGTTGCCATGGTAACAGCTGATGTGGCAGATGGCATTGGGCAACCATTTTGAACTGGAATCTGGTCCTGATTATCCTGTGACATGGTGATAAAATATAGATTTTAAATATTGTCACAAAGTAGAACAGAAGTGAATGCACTTATAAAGGTTTGAAGGGAAAACAGCCAGGCCCGCAGTATTTCTTCTACTATGTAACATACCTTGCAAAATGTCAATCCTAAAGCTAAATGAGGAATGGGAATGACAGAACAGATGGGGGAAATACAGTGAAGTGGTCTATCAACTACTCACCCAGGAGGTACCATGAAATACAGTGAAGTGGTCTATAGACTACTCACCCAGGAGGTACCATGAAGAAACTCCAGCTCAAGGAAAGGCTGTGGAAGACTTGGCACAGATAGTGCCTTGTCACATAGTGGTTGTACTGACGCTGCCAGGGTGGGGGCGGGGGATGTCTCTGGACTCTGAGACAACCTTGTGTCTTCTCTTGGCACAGACAGTGCCTTGTCACATAGTGGCTGTGTTGAAACTGCCAGGGAGGGGGCGGAGGAATTCTCTGGGCTCAGTGACAGCCTTGTGTCTTCTCTGCTGACAGAGTTTGTGTCAGTGCTAGAGTTGGAGATCTGGGCTACTTTCTCTCCACTTTTTACCTGACTAGCCATCTCACTTCTATATCCATTATCTGACACATTTAAAGAAATGGAACTTTCTCCCTGAACTGTATGTAAAACTGCCCCATTACCTTGAACAGAATTGTTTGAATTGAGCTCTTCATCTGCTTTAGCATTCCCATCTGTGTTACCATGACTACAACCATCTCGATCCAGTTTGACTTTATTTGAGCAATCACTTGTTTGAGCATATGGATTTGAGTGAACCACACAACTTGGTAAAGGAAATCCACCAACTGATTCCAGTATTTCAGATTCAGAAACTTTGCCAAAGTTCTGATCTTTATTATCATCTATACCAACAAAATCCCCATTTCCTGTAAGTGTCTGTGCATTTATACTATTTTTCACATTTTGATGAATCGAGTCATTTTTTTCATCAACACCTGCCATTTCTTTGTTTCCATGCCCAATAAAGTTTGGTTCTTTGTTTTCTATTGCATCACTGAGGACCTGGTCTTTATTTTCTAAATGTTTGTTGCTGCTTTGAATGGTGTCTGGGATATCAAGTCCCAAATGTCTGCAGAGAGCAGGGTACAAACCTTCCAGCCACGGCTCCACAGCAACCTCCAGGCTGAAAAAAATAACAGATAGTCATAGAGGCTAACATAAACCCATTAATATATCCTGGTAGATTAACAAATAACAAACCTCCAGGCTGAAAAAAATAACAGACAGTCATAGAGGCTAACATAAACCCATTAATATATCCTGGTAGATTAACAAATAACAAGGCTCAACTTTGTAAACTTAACATATCTCATTTTTACAGAGTTTCATTTTGATATTCAAGAATAAATGAGAGAACTCAAACATAGTTTTAATTCGCTAAAGCTTTGAACAATCTGAGATACAGCACTAAGAAGAAAGTTTTTCATCTTACTCTGACTACTAATCAGACATAATTCAATTTTTTATTTTTTGTGTAAATATGTTATCATTTTCAATAAATAAAATATCTTGTACAAAATGGTGCAATGTGACTTCATATATTGTGCTCATACACTAGCCTGGTTTAGGGCAGAAAGCAATCAAAACACCAGACAGCAAGGCTGACAAATGTTCAGACATTATGCAGAAAAAAGTGCACCAAATAATGTTTTGGACAATTAGATGCAATGTTACATAATGCTTTAAAACAGCATAATCACTCTTACCCTCTTACATTATGTACTACAGGTAACATGGACACAGAAAAACTAGCAAGCATTTCAGTTCCATGGGAAAAAGCCACTAAAAACTTTAATGTGTGAAAAATACAAAAATTCACAAAAAAAAAAAAAAAAAGAACAATTGCCATAAATGTATACTGTTCATATTCATTTTCAAAAGCAACTTGCCTCTTTATCAAACAAAGTCACAGTAAATTTAAAGTGAAACAAAAATACGGTTTGGAAGTTATGGGGCGAATATCACCAAAATTGTGAAAAAAAAAAAAAAACATAATAAATACTGTAAATGTAAGCTGATCATGGCTATTTTTTGAAAGCAACCTGCCTCTTAACCAAACAAAGCCACTGACATAATCTGACAAATCATATTTACAAGACCCAATCAAAAAAGCAATCAAATATTCACTGTTTCTTGACATGAAGTCAATTGGGGCACATGCCAGCTAAATTAGTTTTTGCTTGAAAGCATCTTTGACTTCATGTATTCCATATTAGTCATCAATCAAGAGTTCAGAATAATGAGAGACTGGTGTGACATGAATGGTGTAAGNTGTGTCTGTACATAAAAAGGTTTTTCACTTATCATGTTTACGGTTAAAGTGACGGCCCCGGCGACAGCGACGGCGATGACAGACACAGATGACGGCTATATGTACAGACACATCTGTGTCTGTACATAAAAATGATAAAAGCCCCGAGGGCATTTATTTTTTTAGATCATTTCATTGTTGACCAGTAGATCGATTTGTGAAGTTCATAACAAAATTCATTAAGTTCTGGGAGAACTGATAATACATTGTTATAATGACTGTTGGCCTCCAAATGAATTCTTTTAATTGCGCTCTAATTATACCCACCCTTATATAATACAGTAGTTTATGCTGTGGCTGATAACGGGGGAAGGCAGGGTGGAACTAGTAATGGTCCGCTGGCAAACTGAGCTTTTCCCGCCTGTTTCCTTACTGTCAGCACCTGATCTAGTGTGAACATAGTAACTCCAGTTCTCTGGTAAAAAACTACAGGCTTTGAAGTTAAAACATCGCTTTCGTCGGATTACGCGACAGCAGTATAAATGGAAGTAGGCAATCGATGTGCTGAAGCTATTCCGTTGGGACACAAAATGCAATTCTGTCGCAACCGACTTCTATACATCTCAACTACCGCAATAACCCTCCGACTATCTCTCCTCTTCACGTTACACTAGACGGCAAATGCTGCTGAATAAGAAATTAGATCTGTGGCTAAACAAAATAAATTTCAAATTAAATCTTTCATTATTATGGTAAAATATGTCTTAGTGAACATCAATTTGTATCAAATCCGGCAGAAACCACTTACTGGGACTGCAACAGCGTGTTTCTAATTCACATTTATAAAATTTACAAATTGTTTAAATTCACAGCAGCCTTAGGAACAAAACTATTTTCAATAAAGTCATTTAAATGTCAACTCATTCTGTCAGCCTTTTTTACTACAGGGAAGAACAAACATTATCTGACATCACAAAATCTTTTGTTTAATGAGCAGAGACATACAGAGGTTTGTTATCAAAGACAGAGGACAACAGCTATCCATCACACGACACCCACTGAGATAACACAGTTTGTGAACCATATCAAAACCAGCTATATTCATATTCTAGCTTTGCCAGTGTATTTCCCTCTTTCCCTTCATAAAAACTGGCAATTTTCATGAGGGAAGAAAACGTAAATGGCACTCCAACTGAGGTAATTCTGTCAGGACCAAATATCTTCCAGGTATTTTCTACTCTGTCTCTTTTCCATTAGATAAACCCTGGCTTCTTCCAAGCTGAAACCTAAAAAAGAATAAAAATACTGCATATAAGATTTAACCACTGCTGTAAAATTGAGGGGAACATCAATGTTTTGCACCTAAGGAACTTTATTTCATCTTTTCTTTACAATGGTACGCAACATATTTTTGTGTAAATATACGCACCTTTTATCATCTGCAAAATATCCACAAATTTCTCATTAACGTTCCTTGCCATATTTTTGGCATCCCCACACACATACACTACAGCTCCATGGCAGTCAATAAGGTCCACTACTTCCTGTGCATGGAGTCCCAGGTTGTCTTGCACATAGCGTGGAGCGCCATCTGGTAGTTGGTCTCTTGAGAAGGATGTCAAAAGTTTTGTAAGGATACCTTCTTTGGCAAACTGCTCCAACTGCTCTCTGGAAATGGGATGAGAACTGCAATGATAGTCTTAATTTATCAAGTTTTGAGTCAAGATCTTTGAGATATAAACTGGTTCTTTAGCTCAGTTTTCACCAAGGAATATCCCAACCCCTTACGGCACATCCACGAATGACATCAGTGAAGAATTACACATATTATATTTTATATACAGTTTCAATACACTTATATGTCTTGTTACCCAGGGAAAAGTTGTCAAATATTAACTAAAACTGTACCCAGGTGGGTGTGCAAATTAATCCAAGATGAAGGTTATTTCATTTGTGGGTAGGGTGATAGTTTTATCATTATATTCTCACATACCACAAGGCTCAGTGTTTACCTGTACAAAAAGTCCTTGTCTTTATGTCTGCAGCCAAAGAATAGCCAGGTAGCTCCAAGGGTGGGTGGGGCTTGAATTTTCTTCAGTTCAGCCCTAAAAATAGTTATATATATTGATGTGACATTTTTGGTACCGCATTTTGTGTAATCCACTTAATTTTCCATTCTTGTCAATATAATTTCACAATGGACATTAAATGCACAAACAAAGAAAAAAAGAGAAAATTATTTATTATAATTTAAGCAGTAGTCAGTGTGTCCTTGCATACATGCATGCGTGTGTGTGTGTGTGTGTGTGTGTGTGTGTGTGTGTGTGTGTGCTAGGGCCTACCTGTGCTGTAGGAACCCTACAAAAGGTGCCACTCCTGTGCCAGGACCTATCATGATCAAGGGTGTGTCAAGCGACTGTGGATGGTGGAAATACTGGTTGCTGCGCTGGTAAATGGGGACCTGAAGTTTCAACAGAAAAGATATTAACTGATTTGAACAGGAATGGCTTGTCACCTCATACACCTTACTCAATTCATTTTTTTTTAAATTTACTACCTCTATTTTCTCATAAAACAAATTCTACACGACTCATATTTTAAAAAATATGTCCATTACCTATTTTTGTAAAGCCTAACTGATTAAACACTGCTACACAGATACATGTGAATATATAATAATCAACTACACATTTTTACATGATAAATTAGATCTTTGAAATATAAGGACATTTTATTCATTTATCCCCGGAAGTCATATTGAAATGGAGTCACAGTGAATATTTTCCTTGCTGAAAATGAACAGACCTTAGGCATGTGTAAGCTCAGACTCTGGACCTTATCCAGCAACCATTTGTCCCCAACTGTCCCAGTCTGGGAAGTGGCTGTCCCTGACTCCTCCATGTCCACAACTGTCCCAGTCTGGGGTGTGGCTGTCCCATGCTCCTCCATGTCCACAACTATCCCAGTCTGGGGTGTGGCTGTCCCGTGCTCCTCAATGTCCCCAACTGTCCCAGTCTGGGAGGTGGCTGTCCCGTGCTCCTCCACGTCTGCAGTAATGCTAGTCTGAGAGGTGGCTGTCCCGTGCTCCTCAATGTCCCCAGCTGGCCCAGTCTGGGGTGTGGCTGTCCCGTGCTCCTCCATGTCCCAAGTTATCCCAGTCTGAGAGGTGGCTGTCCCATGTTCCTCCATTTTCCCATTTATCCCAGTCTGGCAGGCAGCAGTCAGCCTGTTCAGCCATCCCGTGCACACACCCTGACGGGACAGAATCCTTCCCTCTCCAGACGGAAACTCCAGGATGTTGAAGACAAAATGGAGGCGCCCAGGTCTGGCCAGAGCAGAGCTGCTACAGGAGTAGGGGCGGCCCTGCAGCCGTGGCAGGTGCTCTGAAGATAAATGACCAGGTTGGGTGAAATCAGGTCAATTATAGGAACTGGTTTTGTGAAAAGTTTTCAAATCTTAACCATGTTATTTATACAAACTGTACTTGTCTCTTTCCTAAATATTGATACTGAGCAAGTTAACATTTTTGACTGAAAACACTCAAGTTTGCTTAATGAAGCATTTAATTCCACACTGTCCCCTTTTTCTTCCCTTGACATGACATAAATATTACCTGGTGTTACAACTACATTCAGGTGGAATGATACCAAGAGAACAATGCTATCATATTTGAGAGTGTTAAACACAAACTTACCAAGCACCCTACTCCACGGAGGAGTGCATGCTGGGAAAGCACAGAGAATATCGTACAAGGTCACCTTGCTTTCCCTGATGAACTTAGCATAATCAGGAGCTCCCTCACGACTGCTTAGTTCCAGCAAACGTCTCTTCTGTCCATCATGTGAAGTGTACTCAGCCAGCAGACGTAAAAAAGCCTGAAAAAGGTTAGAATACACTTAAGTTATCAAAGCATCCTACAACACTATAGGTCTTCACAAATTCAAATATAATAATTTATCTTTTAGAATCCAGTTTATTTAGGGATGTGACTGGGTCAGAATTAGAATCCTCTCAAATAAAAAAATTCCCAGAATAATTGCCTCACTTCACCTAACACATTATTTCCTTGTTTTGCACTGCGCTGTCACCAGGGCATGACGGACAGTAAAACCACACCCATTTCTTACCTTCTTTGGTGCTGCTCTCTGATCACACACTGCCACCAGGGCATGACAGACAGTAAAACCACACCACTCTTACCTTCTTTGGTGCTGCTCTGAGATCACACCCCGTCACCAGGGCATGACGGACAGTAAAACCACACCCACTCTTACCTTCTTTGGTGCTGTTCTGATATCACACCCTGTCACCAGGGCATGACGGACAGTAAAACCACACCCACTCTTACCTTCTTTGGTGCTGTTCTGATATCACACCCTGTCACTAGGGCATGACGGACAGTACAAGGGTTGGGGAGGTAGGGAGGTACCACAGCCAGCTTCTTTTTTGTTTCCTGCTTCAACATCATTCTGAAGGGAACATCTGCTATGTCTGACAGCTGGAGCCTAGGAACAGAGAAAAAGAACCACTTTAACAATCAATTGTACATATTAATTAGAATAAGGGCAAGGGCTCTGTTACATAGTTTTTCTGTAATCACCTTAGTTGTCAGTGTTTGTACCAACTCCACAAAAAGATTAAGTTTTGGTCAAAGTTTTACAGACTTCAATCAATTCCTCCAACTGTGAACATTTCAGGCAAACCTTTGAATAACCTGATGAGATATACCACAAACATTTTAATTCAAACCCTTCCCCCTCCCTGATGAAATATTCATTACCTGTCAATCAACATATCACACTCCTTCTTGTCATTAACACAGACCACACCAAATGTGTCACCAGGCTCATAGTCTATTGATGTCCCCTGAAACAACAAATCACACACACTCTAGACCACACTTCTTCCAATATATATCACTGCCATGCCAGACAGGACATGCCAGACAGGACATGGGTATTCAATATAATTGTTCTATCATGTGTCCATCAAGACTAACACTGATCTCCTTTTAAATAGTATCAAACTGACACAAAATTTCATTCTAAAGTACAGAGTGCAATATAAAACTGTTTTGTTTTAAACACGGCTGCCGGAGAAGCAAAATAAGTGTGTTTTGCATGTGAATGAGCAATTCATATCCCCTTTCATGTAATATTTGCAAGCTAATAGTGGGAATTCAAGTTATGCTCTAATGAATTCTGACATATTCAAACACAATGAAAATCTGACAATACAAATGGCTTCATCTCCCAAGAGGCTTCATGACTATTGCTCTTGGAAAACTGAATGCTAAAAATTGTATCATGACAGACTATCTGAAACATTCATTAAAGTTATCAGACTGGGAATATATTGCTCTAAATTTTTACAAAATCCCTAACACATCACCTGTGTGATGTCCAGTTCAATGTCCACAGCCTTACTTACTGTGATGTCCAGTTCAATGTCCACAGCCTTACTTACTGTGATGTCCAGTTCAATGTCCACAGCCTTACTTATTGTGATGTCCAGTTCAATGTCCAAAGCCTTACTTACTGTGATGTCCAGTTCAATGTCCACAGCCTTACTTACTGTGATGTCCAGTTCAATGTCCAGAGTGGTTTTCAAAGCATCTTCTCTAGTCAACCTGGTGGCGGACACTATGGTAGCCATGGCAACATCTGATGTGGCAGATGGCATTGGGCAACCATTTTGAACTGGAATCTGGTCCTGATTATCCTGTGACATGGTGATGAAATATACATTTTAAATACTGTCACAATGCGGAACGGAAGTGAATGCACTTATAAAGGTTTGAAGGGAAAGCAGCCAGGCCCGCAGTATTTATTCTACTATGTAACATACCTTGCAAAATGTCAATCCTAAAGCTACAAAATAAAAAAGACAGCACAAGTAAAAGAAAATGAGGAATGGAAATGACAGAACAGATAGGGGGAAATACATTGAAGTGGTCTATAAACTACTCACCCAGGAGGTACCATGAAATACAGTGAAGTGGTCTATAAACTACTCACCCAGGAGGTACCATGAAATACAGTGTATTGGTCTATAAACTACTCACCCAGGAGGTACCATGAAATACAGTGAAGTGGTCTATAAACTACTCACCCAGGAGGTACCATGAAATACAGTGAAGTGGTCTATAAACTACTCACCCAGGAGGTACCATGAAATACAGTG